TGCAACTGCTCCAATTGCCTTTGAGCTTTCTCTTCTCCTGCAACTGTCATGTGTTGCACCCTCATTCCTCTATCTTTGGCCACTAACTATACTTCCTTCACTCTTGGCCCTCCTTTGCACGTGCTCATGCCTTTGTTGATAGTGAATTCCAATTTTTGGTGTTAACATTTCCTTAAAATATTAAAGCTATGACAATTAAAGCTTTTATTAGGCCAAGATTTTACCATATTAAAGGTTTTTTTGTTTATCTTCCTTAAAAATTTACAATTAAATTCAAGAGGATTCGGTTTTAGATTTTTCTCCTATCTTATATATTTCAGTGTTTATGTTTGATGTATTCAATTCTCACGGCACTAGATTTCTTTAGTTTTAACTTGTTTTCCTATTTTGCAAGACCATGAGAACATTTTTGTATCATGGAGCTCTTAGAAAATGAACAGCTTAACAATTGTACACAGTGCATAATTGTAATGCTTTTATTTGTTAGTTCTACAATGATTCATCATCGTCCTTGCATAGTAGCACGGTAAAGATATTTTTTGACTATAAGATTTTTCAATTTTTTTTTTTTTTTTAAAGAAAAAAACCTTTTGCAAATCTTAGAAGATAAATCAATCCATTTTTTTATTTTTTATTTTTTATGTTTTGTCTTGTCGAAACTTAAGTCATCTTAGATTTTAATTCATTACACTACAAGAAAACTGGGCTTAAAAGACGGGACTTTTTGCGACAGCACATTTGCTGTCGCAAAAAGTGACTTTTTGAGACGGCACAACCTGCCATCACAAAAAAATATAACTTTTTGAGATGGCACAACTTGCTGTCGCAAAAAATGTGACCTTTTGCGACGGCATAACTTACTGTCGCAAAAAAATAGAGTATTTGCGACGGCAAAAATTGCTGTCGCGAAAAAGAAGAGTATTTGCGACGGCAGAAATTGCTGTCGCAAAAAAAAAAAAGAGTATTTACGACGGTGGAGATTGCTGTCGCAAAAAAAAAAAATGTGCCGTCGCAAAAAGGTTTAAATAAATGCAACGATATTTTTCTGTCACAAAAACATAAAAATAAAAATAAAAAATGACGTCGTCTTACTCTTTTGATATAATATTTCTCTTTTCACCCATTTTTTCATCTTCTTGTCTCTGTCTCTGTCTCTCTTCTCTTTCTCTCTCTCACTCATCACTCTTCTTTGTCTGTCTGTCTCTCTCTTTCTCGTTGTGTCTCTGTCTCTCTTCTCTTTCTCTCTCTCATTCACCACTCTTCTCTGTCTGTCTGTCTGTCTGTCTCTCGCCCATCTCTCTTCTCTATCTCGTCTCTTTATCTCTCTCGCTCTCTCGCTTATCTTTTTCTGTCTCTCTTTCGTTTATCTCTTTTCACTCTTTTTTTTCTCTCTCTTTGTCTATCTCTTTTCACCCATTTGTTCATCTTCCTCTCTCTCTTCTCTTTCTTTCTCTCACTCATCACTCTTCTCTGTCTATCTGTCTCTGTCTCTCTCTGTCTCTCACTTATTTATCTCTTCTCTCATCTCTTTTCTCTCTTTGTCTTTTTCGCTCATCTATTTTCTCTCTATCTCTCTCGCTCATCTCTCTTCTTTTTATCTCTCTCATCTCTCATCTCTCTTCTCTCTATCTCTCTCTGTCTCTCTCGTTCATCTCTTTTCTCTCTCTGTCTCTTTTTCTGTCTCTCACTCTCACTCTATTTCTCTCTTTGTCTCTCTTTCTCTTCTCTTTCTTTCTCTCACTCATCATTCTTCTGTATCTATCTCTGTCTCTGCCTCTTTCTTTTTTTGTCTCTCACTCATCTCTCATCTCTCTATCTCTCTCTCATCTCTCTTCTTTCTCTATCTCTCTCGCTCATCTCTCTTCTTTCTCTATCTCTCTCGCTCATCTCTCTTCTCTCTCTCTCTCTCTCATCTCTCTTCTTTCTCTATCTCTCTCGCTCATCTCTCTTCTCTCTATCTCTCTCTCGCTCATCTTTCTTCTCTCTCTGTCTCTCTCTTTTTCTATGTCTTTCTCTCGATTATCTCTTTTCGCTCTATTTCTCTCTCTCTTTGTCTATCTCTCCCTCATCTCTTGTTTCTCTCTATTTTTCTGTCTGTCCGTTTGTCTCTATCTCTTTCTCTCTGTATATCTATCTTTCTCTATCTCTTTCTCTCTTTGTCTCTCTCTCACTCATCACTCTTCTCTCTCTCTTTCTCTCTCTGTGTCTGTCTGTCTGTCTATCTGTCTCTCACTCTTCTCTTTCTGTGTCTGTATGTCTGTCTCTCTTTCCCATTGTGTTCACCTTGCTCACTCTCTTCCTCCACTCTTCTCTATTTACCGAGCTCTCCACTACAAGAAAATGCACTTTTAGCGACCACTTTATCTCTCTCTCGTTCATCACTCTATTTATGTCTTTGTCTCTCTCTCTATCTGTCTCTCACTCATCTCTCTCTCACCACCCATTTCCTCTACCACCTTCACCACTACTGCAAATGTCATTCCACTACCACTATTATTACCACTGTTGCCATTCCACCTCTACGACTACTATTACTACCACCATCGCTACCACTCCACTACCATTACCACTTCCACTACTACTACTACTACCACCACTACTACTACTACTACTACTACTATTACTACTACTACTACTATTACCTCTCCTTCATTGCCGCCACTCTATCTCCTATACCACTACCACTACCACTACCACAACTTTATCACTAATCTCCTTCGTCATCACCACCACCACCACCACCACCACCACCTCTTATGCACCACCTTCACCACTACTGCCGCTTCCTCTCCTCTACTACAAAATATTACCTCTCTTCTCTCTCTCTCTCATCACTCTTCTCTGCCTATCAGTCTTTGTTGAAAGTTTGATGTGACATGTGAAATAAGAAAATTTGTTTGGTGATGAGTTTTCAAAATAGTTTTCAAAACTTAATTCAACCTATAATTGTTAATCAAACACACAACTCAAAACTCGATATCCGTATTTTTGATCAACAGTCATAACCAAACTATTTTTAAAATACTCAAATAAAAAAATATTTTTTTTTTCAATTAATTGTTTTTAAGTAATTTTTTTTGAATATTTTTTTTTCAAACAACTTCTATGTCAATTATTTTCTATCAATTAATTTTTTTGTCAATTAATTTTTTAAACCTGTATAAATATTAGAAATATTTAAAAAATTAAAATATTAAAAATATTTTAAAAATTAAATATTAAAAATATTCCAAAAATCAAAATATTAAAAATATTCTGAAAATCGATGGTCAAAAGATCATTGCCGTTTGATTGTTGCTGTTGATGAATGTTGTTGATGAGATTTGTAATGGGTCAACAGATAGTGGAGAGATAAAATGACTCCAATAGATAGTGGATTCATGAACATATATTTTTTGCAAATAGAAAAAAATTGAACAGATAAGTTTTTGAATAGTGTATATGATCTATTCAAGTAAGTTAAACATGAGAATTTCAACAGATAGAGAAAAAAGAGATGTGTAAAAATTCAACAAATAGTAAAAATTTAAACAGATAGGGTAAAAAAATTGAATAGATAGAGAAAAAATTTAAATAGATAGATATAAATTTAAGCAGATAAGTAAAAAATTTGAACAGATAGTCAACAAAAAATCAAACAAATAAAAAAAAGACAAAGGATAAAATTAGAAACAAAATGTCTTATAAAACTTCTCACCAAATTATTTCACAAAACATAAACTTCTCACTAACAAAAAAATATACATTGAATCTAATGCCTTAAACACTCTCTAAATTAAATTTATCACTAATTTTCTTCAATATTTTTTGGTCAATGGCGCAAATTGTGGCAAATGAATGGGCTAGATGCTGACCTAGGTTCTTCCCGACATTCCAAATATCTAGTCAATAAAGTTGACAAAATGTAATGCATGTAATGTTTTATTTAATTAATTTTCCGCTATATCTAGACACGTTCCTGTAAAAGTATATATATATATATATATTTATCTTTTTAGAGTTATATTAGCTTGTTTAGTTTTGATCTTCAAAAAAAAAATCATTTTTAAAAAATTCTATTTTTTTTTGTTTTCAATGAATTTTTTAAATATTTGCAGTAATTTTTTAAAATTTTTAAACACACTTAATATAAATACACTTAAAAAGTATAATATTTATATATATTTTTTTAAAAAGTCACTAAATACTAAAAATATAACAAAAAATATAAAAATTCAGTATATTTTTCATAGTTTTGTGTATTTATTAATTTTTAAAAATATCTTTTCACAAATATTTTACTATTTAGATACATCTAAGTAAGATGCATCTAAAAAAAATAAAAAAAAAATTGACTAAAATTTTGAAAATATTCACTAAAAACAAAAAATACGAAAAATGAAAAACTTAATTTTTAGAAAATTAAAACTAAACGCACTGATTTTTTTCAATATTTCTATTTATTTTTTCGTAAAAAAATAAAAAATATACTTATATAAATCATTCAAACAATCTCTAACTTAAGTTAAAAAGTAAAAAAATTGAATACAATATTTTAAAATTTCTGTAAACTAACTTATTATAATTTATTTTAAATTAGGAGTATGTTTTGTACTATTCTTCCTTATAATTTATTAAAATAATATTTAAAAGATTTAATTATATAGAACTAAGGAATTTTTTTTCCTTCTATTTTTTAATTATTAATTTTTAACTTAAAAAATTCTAATAAACATGGCCAATATACAACTGAAAATTCAAAAATTATTTTTTAAAAATCCAAAACTAAAACATTTTTTCTTGTCTTTTTCCTTTAATCTATAAACAGAGGCATGTGGCTCATTTCTTTACACACAGTCGCTCCGACTTGGACTTTCTCTCTCTTCTATCCGGCGACTCTCCGTCAGCTTCTCCGGCGACATTGACTCCATTTTTGCAAATGGGTTCAACTCATGCTCTTGTCTTGGTGGTGAGTCCAAACCCTTTTTAATATTATCACTACACAGCTCAGCTTTTCAAGTAATTTAGTGTCACTTGATTGATCTCAAAATGTACCTTGTTTAGTGCATCAAATTTACCTTTTCATTCTAGGGTTTCATTCTCACTCTCCTCTTTAACTTGCTAGTACTACTTCAGCAGGGTTTCAATGCATTCTATCAATTTCTATATATATAGTTCTTATCTGCATACTAATTGTGTGTATATGTATATATATGCTATAATAGCTTTTTGGGCTTTGGCCCTTTAATCTTTGTCTTGCTGTAAGTTATTGCTATCAGTCTCACTTTTGAGCTCTGGAAGTGTTTGCATTATGTATATGCTAAATAATAATAATAATAATAATAATAATAATAATAATAATAATAATAATAATAAACCCCTAAATTGGGCCCCTTTGTGCCCAAAGTTTCAATTCAAACCCAATCAATGCATACAATATGTTTGTTTTCTAGATTAATTACAAGTTTTTATTGCTTTACAGTTAGTTTCTGATGGTCCAGTTTTGAATTGTTTAGGTCAATATGCTTCCTGATTCAATTGTCATTCATCCATTTCTTGTTTGCTCACATACTTAATTTCTTGTAGGTCCTTGGTGGCTTCTTGAATTTATAGGGCTTTGAAAGTCTTTTCAGGTATCAAACTCTGAATTTATTGTTCTACATCTCAATTTTTCACATATTACCATATGTATATTTATATGTTCTTCATGTTGATCATGTTGAATTTTTTTGTAAGCTTCTCTTAAAACCTTACAGACTAGTAGATTTTCAAATCATATCTGAATTTATGGGGTTGGTGAAATCAGATCTTCGGGCATTTAACCATTTTACTGTTGCGGTATTGTTATCCATTGTGAGAGTCCGGAAGTTCAGTGAGTGTTCAATCGGAATTTTGAAGACAACAATAACTACATCATACCGTGATTACAGTTTTTCCAAGTGAGGGTTGAAGGGTATTAAGTTCTATCTCATGTTTAAAGTTAATATAGTATAGTGGTAGTAATGTTGTATCCCAAGTTCAAATGGGTTTTTGTGGTGCTAATATGTTCCATGGAAATTAAAGCTATCCAATTTGTTGAAATATGATTTCAATGGAATTTAATTTGAAATTCCAGACTTTGTTGAGTTGAGTTGAATCCGGTTTGTGGGATTTTTAATTGAGTTCATCACGGCATGGATGGTAATCAAATGTAGTTATCTTGTATTCCAGGAAGCATGTTTAATTGTGTTAGTTTTGTAGGATTTAATTTCATGTACTAGTGGCCAATTAGTTTGAATTGTTGTGATATCATTGCCATATTAATGTAGTGACTTTTATTTCAGACATTTGATGTTTGTCACCTGTTGCGGGATTAGTGTTTAGGTGTATGATTTTGTGACTTGGAGAATTGTCAGTGTGTCTTGATAATTTAGACTAATGATGGTTTCAAGGGATGCACATTTTAGTTTTAAATTTTTTGTTTTAGTCTAGTTTTAATATAATCCTTATTTTTCAGGATTTGTAATTGGCTACCGGATGACTTGAAGGAAGAATATCTGCATACTGTGAAAGTAGTGGAGAAGGCGGTGTTGAGAGTTGTAATTTTCCCTTGTCTTTTCATTCTGTTCATTTGAAATCATCTGTGCCACGACAGACATGAAGATGTGAATAAGATATATGTGCTTATTGCTAAACTTTAGTGAGATGATGCTAGTGATGCCCTTTCTTCTGTTAGCTTTATATTATTGCTTAGTTAGTCTTTCTTGTACAATGTATGACAACAACAAAAAAAAAAAAAAAATGGAAGATCATTTTCATATTTTTAATTATGGATGAATTTTTATATTTTTAATTATGGATGAATTTTTATTTATATATATCAGTTTTTTTTTAGTTATTTTTCATTTCATACGGGTCATTTTCATATTTTAAATAATTTTATTACAATTTTTTTTTTTTGTTGAGACGGCACCAGACACACAGTCTCAAAAAGAAAAATAGAACCAGGGGTTTTTGCGACGGCAGTAATGTTGTCGCAAAAGATAAGGGAATTGGTTGAAAAGGAAGACCTTTAACGACGGTGTTATTTGTCGTCGCCAATAGTACTTTAGCGATGACATCAGGTGCTGTCTCAAATAACCCTTTAGCGACGATATGTTTGTCGTCGCAAATAACGTTTTTAGCGACGACAACACAGTACTATCTCAAAAAATCTCAGATTTTCACGCATTAATGCAGACAGCATTTTTCAGTCGCAAAAAGACATTTTTGCCGTTGCAAAAAAAAGGTGACGGTGTTATACCGTCGCTAAAACCCTTTTGCAACCCCCTTTGTTGCGACCCCCCACTTGCCGTCGCAAAAAGTCAGTTGCCGTCGCAAAAAACCTTTTGAGACGGCGGTTTGGGTATTTGCGACGGCATTTTGCCGTCGCAGAAAAGTAATTTTTTTGTAGTGTTATATTTGAATTTTTTCTTCCCAAGGAAACATTTAAAGAAATAATTGGAAAAAAGTTTTGAAATCATTTTAGATCACTAAATTTATCGTTTTAAAATGGAAATGTACCATGTTTCATAACTTATGTACTAATATGTAATTTACTTGAGTATTAGTGTTTTCTGATAACACAATATGGGACATTATTGGCCCACCATGGAAGTAGATGCTAAGACATTTGCCCAACTTTGCAAACATTGCTAGCTCCATGGAAATCCCATTCATGCTCCAACCACTGACTCACATAGTTTAGCTCCCCAAGGCCCTTCCACACTTGGACCGCGGATCTCACTGGCCCTATTTCTCCATCATCTAGAGGACACATGGATTGTTGCTGCCACAGAAGCTTACACTAATAAGTGGATGGATGCCTTACCACTTAAGAAAGCAACAAGGACCCACCATTTCAAACTTTATCCAAGAATACATCATCAGCTGCTTTGGTACACCCAAAGTAATCCTTTAAGAGAATGAAATCCCTTTTGTTACCTCTTATGACATCATACATCACAAGTCAAAAACCTATTATCCCCAAGGGAATAGGTAAGCTGAGACAACCAATAAGACACTTCTCATAATCCCCTTAAAAACCCTCAAGGATTATTAAAAGGATTGGGCCCACATGCTCCTAATGGCCCTTTGGACACATAGTGTTGTATAAATTGTGTACTTAAATAAAATAAATAAATTTATATTGAACAATCACTTTGAATTTCATAACAAGAACATGTTAGAATTTACAGAAATTCATAATAAAATAAAATTAGTAGAATGAAGCAAATCGAAACCTGTGTGATACCACAGTGTCCTTAAAATAGATTAGCTGCCTCACCGTGGGTGCTCCAGGAACGTCGACTTCTGTCTCTCAGGATACGGGGTTTAGACTGGGCTAACGCAAAAGCACCTTCTGTTAGCTTTGGCGAACTTGATAATGAATGCTCTCTCTATAACAAGAACCAAAGAAGGGACTAGCAAAAGATAGAAAAATTTTTATTTGGTGTAAAAAATCATCTCCAACTTTTTTATCTCAAAACAACATTTCCATTTTCCATCAAAAATCTCTCAAAATGCTTATTTTAAGTTGGAGGGGAAAGACCCATTTTTATACTTGTAGGGGAGAGGTTTTAGCCATGAAGGCTACCATAAAACCTAGCATCAATGGCCATCAACTCTAGCCTTTAGGGCTAAAGTTACAAAGGTGCAAAATTCCTATGTGCATAATGATCATCAACTCTATCATCAAAAGATGAGAGCTACGAAGGTTGAATAAATAAATAAATATATATATATATCTATATAAATAATCATATTTAAATAATCCAACTAGATGGGTCACAAAATGGATACGGGTATTGGGTCACAACTCGATCCATGCCTAGTCTAAAACATATGCACAAGACAAGCCCAATCCAGCATAGCACAATCTAGCCCATGCCCAAGACTAAGTCCAACACATGCACTTATACAAGCCTAGGCCAGTCCAGACCAAGACTAAACCTAAGTCCAAGTCCAAGCCTAGGCCCAAGCCCAACTTCTATTGATGCTCACTTTATGAGACAATTCTCCTTCATAACTCAATGGTTTCGGCCCATCATTTTTATATTGTAATTTTCTCACTTGAGAGAATACAAAACCACTCAGACCCACCTTAACCGACTGTTGGGTTCCACTTTAATTTCGAATTAAAGTTGTCGAAAAACCATTATTTTCCAACATATAGAACATCTAAAAGGACGCCAACTCAAATGATGCTCTTTTCCTTTGTTTATGGGGACCAATCAAGCCTTCTGATAGAAATTGCCATTTCTTTAGCTTGCATTGCCCTTCGAAGTAGAGGCATTCCTAACCCATTACCTATAGAGCTTGAAGCTCTCGATGAAAAAAGAGACAAAAGCAGAGATGAACCTCAAAGTTTTTCAAAGGGGCATTGCTCGAGCCTATGACACTCTGGTATGCCCTAGGCAATTCAAACAAGGAGATTTAAGCCTTGTTTGGTTTGTCTCTTGCGAGACAATTTTTGAGAAAAAATTTTAAAAATTTATTTGGTTGAAATTTTTTGAAAAAAAAATCCAAAATCACTTTTTCTCTCACACCTATCTATTTAATTATCAATATATATATATATATATATCAACCCAAACTCCAAAACTATTTTCAAAACGTACAACTAAACAATTTTTTAAATTTTGTAAACTCTTTCCATAAAATTATTTTTCAAAATTGTTTCACAAATACAAACCAAACACGACCTTAGTGCTTTGAGTTGCACCTCACATTATGAGAGGAACATCAACTTACAAGTTTGCACCTAAATGGCAAGGGCCTACATGATAAGTGAAGTTAGTGAGAATGCCTACTACAAAATTTCCCAACCTAATTGTAACAAACCCGACCCATGATTAACACTAATCCATGTTTAAGTATGCCAAATAAGTAATTAAGAAGAAATCTTGAGTCAATTATATGTGCATTGCATTATTTTATACTTATATCTGTTTGACGTAGAAAGATTTTTTCATGTTTTAGTTTTGATTTGCGAATTGAAAGCCTTATCGACATCCGACTTAGAAATTGACTTGATTTATGTGTTAATTAAGATTTATAGGATTTTATGGTAAGTTTAATTAAAATTCGATTTGGAACAATTAAATTAGAACAAATAATGCTAATTAATTCAGCTTAAGTTATTTACGTGTATGCCATTGAGTGAGCTTTTACAAGACCATTTTACACCTTCTACATGTTTTAACACCATCAATTTCCATTTTCTTGCACAAAACGTGAGAGGGAAAGAGAGAGAGAGAGAGAGAGAGAGAGAGGTGGGAAAAAAATTGGATTCAACTAGGCAATTGCTTGAAGTTTAGCCAAGGCCTTTGATCTTCGATCTCCATTGATTCTTTGGTTGTATGATCTGGAAATTCTTGTTCTACACTCGATTTTGTTGTCAGTTGAAAAAGATTTGAGGATCTCAACTTCAACTCTTGTAGATTCAAGCCTCTAGGTAAGGGACTAAACTCTTAATTGAGTAATTGAATTAGATTCTACAAGATCACTAGTGGATTAAGTGAATTCATGTGGGAATTGCATTAGAATTGAGAAGAATTAGGCCATACCATGCATGCATGTTCATTTCTTCACAAATTGAGCATGATTTCAAAGAATTCTTTCATGCATGTGTTCATCTCACTTATATTTTGGGAAATCATCATGTTTTCTATCAAGTTGCCAAGTTTGATCATGTTTTGAAGAGGTTGGGTTTAAGAAAATTCATGTATGTTGTGTTCTTGAAACATTCATAAAGTTTATGTTGGAATTTTGTACAAATGGCATACTTTTGGGCCTTGATTTCATGAAATGATCTTTAAAACATGATGTTTTGTGAGTTTCTAAATTTTTTCCAAAGTTTTGGCCCAAGATGATGAGTTTTGGGGTGTTGAATTCATGTCTTGAAGCTTGGGAGCAAATCTGGAATACCTAGGATTTTGCTTCCACGCTCGAGCGAAGGATCCTATGCTCGTGCAACCGTCCTTATTTTCATGCTTTCACTCAAGTGATAAAGGGCTGGCTCGAGCGTAAATTGCAAGCTCTCAGAAATTTGCGTGTGTAGAAGCACGCTCGAGCGACAAAACTTGCGCTTGAGCGAGGACCTGTGTCTTACGCTCGAGCGAGCGTTGAGCGGAGATTTCATCCAACCAGAACTTTTTCACATTTTGCAGACTGCTCGAGCGACCACTCACATTTGGCATGTCCGCTTGAGCGAAGAAAGCCACGCTCGAGCGAAACCCCTGCTTCAACAAAAATTTGGCTAAGTGTTTCAAGTACATGTTTGCATCCTCTTAGGCTATGATTAAGACTCCATAATGAGGTTAAAGGTTAGAAACACACTAAGAAAAATGAAATAAGTTGTGTTCAATCCAAGCATGTGTGTTCAACGTATGTATCTATCATGCTATATAGGTCACGCGCCTCAAGACAAGTGAACTGCCCACTTTGCCATCTAATTGGAGCTACCAATTATCTATGAGTAATAACTCTGTAAAGTTATGTTAACCTTAATTATTTTATGATGATATGAAATGATCAGTTTTTTGAAAGGCTATGTTTTGTATGAATGAATGATTGTCCAATTTTCTTTGAAACATAATTGTGGTATCCTTAGCAAAGGCCCTCGCCCAGGGGACATAATACTGTGGCTTATGGTCATGAGGCCCTAGCCCGGGGGTTTATACCGTGGCCCAGGCCCTCGCTTGGGGGAAACAATACCGTGGCCAATGTATAAGATATGTTACTCGGTACCAGAGGTTCCTTCATTGAACTTAATAAGCTTGACCCAAGA